ATATATATATATATATATATAATCATCCCAATGACTGAGCTGCACCGTTGTTTTTATTCTCTTTCCTTTATCGACTGGAAATCACTTGCTCAATCGCATCCGTTCCTGAAAGGTTATTTACGGGGTGCAAGGACTAGGTAGCATCGTAGTAAAGTAGTGTCATTTGTCGGAATCATGCTTGCGGAATATTGACGTCCTACGCTTAGTCGTAGAAAAAGCAGCGCTGTCTTTTCTGAAAGGTAGACGGGCTGGAAAATTTTGGGTGCATTGATTGCACTATCCTTCTACAAGCAGGTTGATCGTTTCTACAACACAGCTGAATACGGTGAAAATATTTCAGGAAACCAAAAGACTAATCTCGCTAAAAGGCGCTCGCTAAGCACAGTAGCCGGTGGAGTAGGACCCTGATTTTTTCACCTTCAAATCGGGTCAGCCCCTAATTTCATGCGCGCCTATTCTTTCTGTCGAAGTCTTCCAATCTCGACAGCTCAGACTAAACGCTGGTTGTCAGGAAAATAAATACAGTTTTCTGTGTGTTGGAACTTGGAAAGTGGATGGTGCATTTAAGCAAATTGCACGTTATAAACCTCCAGTTTGTAGTTAGCGTCACCTCATATAACGCTTGGATATGCTGATACCCTTAGAAATATGTCATTTTGGTTCATCCCCCGGTCATACGCCTTCAATTTACACAGCGCAGAGGACTTTCAGGCACATGTACATTCCGCTAGACTGTGGCACCATCAACATTGCATACAGGTCTTTTGGTTTATTCTGATGTGACAGGAGTTCCGGATACAAATTACCACAGCTTTTTGATTTTTGCCCAAGTTAGAGCGGGTACAAGTTAGATTTTTCTGTGGAACTCCTGGAATTCCTTGATGGTAGGGAGCAATGAATAAGTTGAGAACGATAAAGTTAGAACGCTGGGTCACTTTATCCGCCTAAATAATACGACAAGAAGGAAAGTGTTACAGTATGCTCTTATTTCTTCAGCCGCACTGCCAAAAACCATCAACTTTCACACCATAGATAGGAGTGGATAGCAATGAACAGTGAAAAGGAGCCAACCATGCGGTTGACCAATCAGATTCATCTTTTAATTCAAAGCTGACAGCTTGTATCATGGATTTCGACTCACAAGATGGGTCTGTATTGATTGATCGACATGCCCCCCACTGGAAGCTGACAACTCAAAGCTGAAATTGCGCAGTAAATTTTTAAATGCTATACTGGCGTCATCTGTGTCCCACGCATAGAATGTGATTGACAATCGATAAAATTGTTAAGTCGATACTCCACAACGTTTGCTTTCAGTTTGTTATACAGAATGATAAATTTGAAAAAGATATTGCAAAGCGATCATTTACGTACCAATGTAAAGGACTATTCGGCTTTCCGGATCTGTTGGGAAGTCACTACGTTTAATTTCACTGTTTACTCAACTCATTCATATCACAATCAAAGCAGTTTGCAAAAACGCACTGTATGGATTCAGCAGATCAACTTGTGTTAGTATTTTATTCTCTTCTGTCGAAGGATGCTTGTTCTGTAATGTGTCTAGGCCAAAGAAGCAACGAAGAAAAAATTGCAACTACAAACCCACATATATCACTGGCGTAAGTACCCCGCTGAAACCGGATTGGTTGATTTCGACTGCAGTTCATTCGCCCAGACGAAATTTGGTTCGGTTTGTTGTTTACCGGTACTTAGCTGAATTCATTGGCTGAAATTCGCCTTAAATTTCATCCACTAATGATTGGTATGAAGGTAAATAACGGAGTAGTCAAATGTGCATCAGAAGCGATGGCGAAGTATCGAACTATGAGGGGCAACCCTCACAAGTGCTCTTCACGCGAAATTATTTAGGACAAACTTCCTTTGATTTTCGTGAGTATATACGGTGTTTTTAGTAAGATGCAGTATTTTCTATATTTTGACATGTAAGCAGAGGCACATATTTGAAATGAGTTTTTAATGAGTAACCCGTCATAAAGACTTACTTCTGATATTGCAGAGCCTCGATCTATTTTGATAGGTGCGTTTAGGACTAGTTTTCACAGAAAAATCGAGGTTCCTTTCTTGTACCACAATATAACTTGCAGGTGAGGCAAGCACGTCATCTGTTGATTAGAAGATACCGGAGTCACAAAGAGAAAAAGTATGTGGATGTGGTATAATTATACGTATATGCAACTCAAAAACTATTGTGGTAAGCAGTAAGAAGGTGTTAATATCAGCAAATGCAGCTAACTGGTAATCTGCTTTCATACTGGAGAGGAATCTGTGAAAATCTAGGCACTGTCAGTTAAGTTGAGTATTTCATGAAGACCCGAGGTGAGGAATGCCTCTCCAAGGCAGTCAACAGGTAATAGGAATACCAGAACGAAAAATGGAAACTTTGAGATAACGGACGGTTTTTTTGGCAGAAAGCAATTTACATCTGCTAGTACTAGCTTCCAAATCCGTTTGTATTCTTTTAAAATGAATCAGCTGCGGTACCAGAATTGGCTTCCTGTGGGGGGCCTTACTCATTTTAAGTTTCCACAAGTAAACGGGCAAGTAGTGTTAATTGATCAGACACTATTTTCGGATTTAACCGAGCACACTTTTCATTTAAATGTTCACTACACGCTTCCTACTATTTTATGTCTCCGGTCTCGTTTTTCCCACCAGTTTGTTGTTTTCGTGTACGTTACGGGAATAATTGAGCTTCTATTCTCGTAGAAGCACTCTATATCGTTTTCGGTGCGCTTTACGTCAAAAGCAACCTTTCTTTCAAATGCTAGTACGATTCATGATAAACAGCTTAGGAAATAATGAACATATAAATATAATTTTATTACAAGCCTCACTTAATGCCTTAAGTGTTCGTTGGTTTGTTCGCTGAGCTGAGCAATTTGATTGCAAAGGTCACCAATCAAGGTGACATCATCAGTGGGTTGTTGGGGAGCATGGTATTGGTGTTGTGTACAACAACCAACCCATCGCTACACACCGCTACGTACCCTAACAACGTACTGATGTCACCTCGATTGGTGGTGAGACGTTTGCAGTCAAATTGCCCAGCTCAGCGAACTAACAAACGATCATCTACGCTACCTGGGCTACCAAAATCTTCCTCTATAGAATGCCTCAAATGTTGTGCATTCACTTTTCCACGCACAACAGACTTTCTCGCATTTTTCGAGATTTATGATGAACAGTGACCCAGCCTTAACGACAAGTTGGTAGCTGAAGTTGTATCTTCTAGCTACCGGGTTGCTATTCTTTTGTTTGCCAAGCCATGTTTAGGACAGATTTGGGGCAACTTCTAACCGAGTTCTGACTGGAAGTCGTCCTAAAACTTTGGATTGGAAATTCATCATCATTAACTTCATCGCCACCAACACCGTTGTTTTCATTATTGTTTTTATGAAACAGTAACATTTTTGACTATAACAATGCTCCACTGCCGTACGAGCAAAAAGCTTTCTTTAATGACATTTGAGTTCATAAAACCAAGGAAAAGAGTAGATGGGGCTGGGCTGATTTCAGCCTACCACAAGCATTCTGCGGTATCAACACATCCAAAAGCTTGGTCAAACAATCTGGAAAGCAAGTAGCAGTATGAACACTGCTCATTCTGTCAAGGCGGTATTTCTGATCTCCGGCCAAACACATAGGGACACTGTACTGGAAGGCAGACAGCAACGAACACTCCCGAAATCTCCGATGTGTCTTACAAAACCTTCTACCAATGGACATATTTTCCACTTCGCAGTTCACAAGAAGGACAACACTCGTTTTGGTAAACGATTTATCGGCATTCGTAGCACATGGCCAAATTACCGCAGTTGATGGCTCTGGATGTTTTCTGCCACCAAACCACCTGCTATATAATTAGTTACCAGTTTTGTCATTGGCTTTTTAAGTAATCTATTGATGTTGTCCAACATTAGACATCGGCATTCAAAAGCCTAAAAATTCATAACATCATCTTTTCGCAAAGACTATGTCCTTCATTCTTCATCAAAGCTAATTCAACTACCGAGCAATGCAGGATACTCCACAACCTCCGGATTTTTATCACAAAACCTTGGGGCAAGGGCAGTTGAGGGCACTGACAGTTCGACAGAATCTAACTCACTCTGAAGGCCGAGGAATATTAGGATGATCTATGCATGCCATCACTCGAACAGCTGACGGAGTGCAATGTGATCAACTTGGCCTCTACTACGTCAAAATCCCGCCTGATGCTCATGGGTGAAGGTTTTGAGCGCTGCCTTAAAAGGACAAATAATCAGTGACAACCGGAGTCTTGTTACAAAGGGACTCAGACGGGCCTTCTATGTGGTTACCGAAACCATTGCGGATAAGCTTTTTGATGGTGCACACCATTATCAGCTGATTCATATCACTCAAGATGGTCACTTTTTCTTAGATAGAAGCAAATAGGCTACACAGGTGGTGGATGAGGAATTCAAAACCGTCATTGAACAGAGCATTTGGAAGGTTTCTGGGACCGAGACTATGCAGCCTTACTAGGCTCCATATCCACAGCCTCTGTTTGTCTTATAAAGTCTGACAGTCCCGCCTGTAGGTAAAGGGTGATCAAATAGATTGTTGCTCCAAGTATTATGCCAGGCTGTCAAAAAGTTCTTCAATGAAACCCACAGTATTGTTTAGTGTGCGACAGAGATGCGGAGACAATCCTGCTGCGATAACTTTCAGTCTCTTTACATCCGGCATTAAAGAGCGCATTCTTGCATACCAATGAGGGCATTCAAGCTTCCAGTCTCTCACGTTTTCCAGCCCTTAGGGTATTTTGTTTAGCTCTTACCGGAAGGATCATGTAAACCGCGTGGCCTGGTTATAGCTTGTATGTCTGAAACCTTTCAAACTGACAGACAGCTGAAGTGAAATTCTAGAACCTTGTCTGCTTTCCTACATATCTCGTTATAATGAATGTATCTACCGGATCACGGTGAGTCTTTGAAACCTGATAAATAAAATTAGACCGATCGTTGGTTCTTTGTGACACACTGGATCACACGCAACTTAAAACAACCAGTTTAACATAATCCATCATTGTGGATTTCTGAAAACCGGTAGCACGAAAACTTTCAACGAAATGGGGTTACGATTGTGGTAGCTGGTCTGGTGAGCTATTATCAGTATGTCCACCTCATTCCCCGTCCGGCTGCTTGCACTTTTCTCTCGTGAGGGAAGCTGGACCTGACTGATAACCCTTCGGTTAGGCGAGTAAAATATTGTTGGAACTATTCGTAATGCTCTACTCGGCAACCTTATGCATTACGAATATACATACATCGCGATATTTCGAATATGGTTGCAAGTGAAACATGAGGCGGTATGATGTAGCACATTCAGTTGCCTGCAAACATCACAAACGGGAGATTCAGCTGGGTTCCTGGTGAGTCTCTCGCAAAATCAAATTTGTCCACAAATGAGTGCATTTCTCTAATTGTTGGAACTATTTCGATTGTGCTGAGGTGCTTGACCGCACAGTTCCCGTTAAGAAGAATAGTACGTTGGTTGTTAGGAATAATTTAAAGTGAACAAAATCCAATTTGAGGGCAGAATTGGACCGAGTTAAGCGCGTAGTACATGAGATTGCACCGGCTTTTTTAAGTACAAGGTAGGTAAATAATGTTTGCTATTAGGCTTTGTGGGACAAAGCACTGTTGTAAAACTTGTTTCAGATTAGCGAAGTTGTCAGGTGTCATTAAGAGATTAGCTTCGCTATAAATTTTTATCACCATGGGTATTCACGTCCCATGAGCCAAATAGGAAGATTCGTATCATCGAAGGGATGCCTTTATGACGTTCGAAAATCAAATTTTTGCATACCAAGTATAACATGCAGTAAAACAACGGGGGATTTAAAATAGGCTAATCACTCTTAATGACGGGATGTTGAACCCTTATCTGTTCACCTATATTCACTGTTTTTTGTGTTTACTGGGTGCACTCCGAGAGCTAGACAGCGGCTTGAGGAGAGGTAAAGTAACTGACGTTGTCGAAACCATAAATTCCCACACTTCTTCCTTCAAACTGACCTTTTTGCCTCGTCCAGCTGTCAGGAAATGCTGACATACTGCTCTGTGAGGCATGTCAGGTGGTATTTAGGCGACAATTTACTAGTTGTGATGCATTTTTGGGTCTCCACACGATCAGTAAGTGGCCGGAAAGTCGTGAAGTAATCATTCGTGCCGTTTGCTCCGCAGGTGGGGTTGAAAAAGAGGTTGGAGGAATGTGGGACCTCTTCGTATCTGTTGTCGCGACTTTCTACTTGATTGCATCTCAGGTGTTCAGTAAAATTTATGAAGCTAGTAGAATCTCATTTCTGAACCTGCTATGCCAATTGGTATAGCTTACTCCTATTAGATGTGAAATATATTTGCAACATTGTGAGACGTATATGCAATTCAATGTACGGGGAAAGAGGACGCCTTAGGTCGCCGATATGCAGGCCACAAATTGGTACAGATTGCCTTCGGTAGCCAGTGACTTATAACGAACTTGGACTATCGCAGGGTGCTATTCCAGCTCTATCAGTGGGTGGGTTTGTTGCCAAGAGATTCACAATCAGTGATATGGGCAGGTGTTGGATATTGATGCACAAGCTGAGCACTAGGTCGGCTCAGGTCATTTCTGTTATTCTGCAGACCAGTCCGATTACCCCCATGGGGGACCTGATCTGGAAGAAGTGTGTGTTTATTGTTAGAAGCTAAATTAGTTTGTTGGTATTTTTGCTCTACATACCTACCCAGAGTAAGCAAGTCATCCCATCCGACCAAGTTGATTCTATAGTAATTTGACTTGAAACAAGGACTTCGTCCCCCCGGACAGAGCGAGCGTCCACATAAGGAGGGTCTCTACTTAACCAAGAGTTAAGGCGCAAAAGCCCACGACTCCACATATCCTTCAGTTTCCGCAGATAAAAGGTATAGAAAGTTGCCTTATGTTTTGATTACCACGATTTCGTCCAGATAAGTGGGAAGGGAGCTCCCCATTCGTCATACTACACGGAGTGTGTTGCCGTATACGCTTTCCAAGTAGCTAGTTTCTGAATCCTACGTCATTGTTGCTAAGCGGGTTAAATGTCAAAGTTCAGCTACATAATTTCCGCTTAACTATCTAATATCTAGTCTGCCAAGGGGAAAACAATCTAAAAGTGTACACCTCAGATCGATTAATCAAACAGAATTGATTTCTCTTCTTTTCCATTCCAGTTTCGACTCAGAGAAACAGCCTTGCACATCAATAAATAGACGCCATCTTCTTCAAAAAATACTGTACTTTCTTCTATCACAATGATAGTGTTAGTTTTACTGGTCTGAACTAATGAATCGATTACCAAGAATGCGGGCAACGTCTTTGGCACTGCTTCATTGTTAAGTTGGGTCACTAGGCATGATGGATGAGGTTTGATCTTGTCCAACCTTTCTTCAGGCAGTCTGTGAACTAGTTTGTGATATGCAAATTAGCTAGTGAAATTAGACAGCAACAGACCGAGTTGCCAGTGATTTATTTTTTGTTGTAATTTTGTGGTGTGTCTTCACCAGGAATTGGTTCTTTAATGTTTTACGGCCTAGAATACAGGCTTTGACAACCAAGCGTACAGATACCTGTTGTTGATAATGTATTGAAACCTAGTTTTACACATTGAAGTTCATTGAATGCTTAGGCACGTAGCGTGCTTGAGGCGACCAATTTGAACACATTCTACCTTTTGTTTTTATGAGCATCCCAAAACACCAATCGTATGATTAGGCAAGTGTACAGGAGGTAGGAGACGCTGCAAGTGTGACCTACCTTTCACGGGTATAATTTTATGCCCTACATAAGTAAACACTCTCTTCTTAAATGAAAACAGGACCAGTCAGATTTGGGTGAGGATATTACGTAGACAGGTTTCGTATATAAAAACTTTATGCATTGGTCAGTAAAAATTGAGGACATCACAAACGAGAGATTCAGCTGGGTTCCAGGTGAGTCTGTCGAAAAAAACCAAATTAGTTTGCAGATGAGTGTAAAATTGAGATTTCCTCGGTGGATTGTCGGATAAGACTTAGCGCCAAACGTCGAAGAGCAATTATCTAAAAAGCTCCGTTCATTTACCTTAACACTTATGCTTACTGATGCTTGTTGTTGAATTAGTTCACAATTGAACTAGTTGACAAGTGCTGCGGGTGATCCTGTCTACTTTGTGGGGATGAAGACATTCGTCATCTTCTTAACACGAAGAGTTCCAAATTCAGACTTCCAAAAACACTAAATTCCAAAACACTACATCCCCTAGAACTTAGCATGAATAGTGAATGTTCCGAAGTGAACTCATCACGGTGACTGATGAAGGAGAAAGCTGCTTAAAACAACTACATAGCTGGCGATTATTTTGCCTATCAAACACGGAAATGTCAAGCAGCTAAATTCAAATAAACGAATGCAGTATTCTGACTGAATGGTACCTAATTACTGGAGGGCGCCACCTTATTGGTGACCAGAATACGGCGCGGTCTTAAAGCTTCCGTCAAGGCCCACAAAATATGAACAAGTCTACCCGACATACCTTCCCTGACCACGAGATGCGTGGTTGCATGAGGTAAACGTTTCCCCCACGTACTTGGGGAATAGGATCAAGCCTGTAGCTTTTAGAGTTTCACTGCGGCATGTGAGGGCTCAGCAGCAAGAAGTTTCCAATCTAAATTGCTGTAAAAACTAACGCTGATGTCCTGACTCGGTACTGATGAGTAAGATGAATCCTATATGTCCTCAATAAAACTTTGAAAACCTCTAAGGGACACCAATTGAGCAGTTTTAGAGGTTGAATTCGTACCTAACTATCATTCGGCCCTCTCGTTTTCGCTTTCGTAGCCATGGACCGAAATTTCCTCACATGCCCGATAAATGTGCTTTTCCTGCTTGCCACTCTGTTTGGTTCCGGCGCTACCAAGGGTCGTACGGCTCTTGAGATTGGTCAAACACTCCAGCTGCGACGGGACATGACCGAGCACAACTTGAAACCAGCCATGGAAGAAGTAAAAATGCTCTATCGTGACTTGTATCATGAGCTGTCGGCTGAACAGACCGTGACGAATGACCGCCCAACAAATGTCATCAAAATAGCCAATGGGATATTCCTCAAGGCGGGATATGATGTGGATACTTTCTTCAACTGGAGTGTGCAGAACGAGTATTTTTCAAAGTTCTATCAGGTCAGTTTAGATAAGTTATTTTACCAGTCATAAATAGTAAGAAACGACCACATCTTTTATCGTAGTTTCATCTTTCTTTGCGCGCTTATGGTAGTTGATATCGCACGTGTATACAAACAGAAACGGCACAGTTCTAGTAATGCTTTTGACAGAGTGGACTGTACGTTGCAGGAGATAAAGTCCAAATATCCTACGATTTTTAGCAATTAAACTGATAAGCAATAGTTTCTATACAATAATTTATCCATTCTAAGGAGTTGTACACTATTTTAGTTGCTGGTTTTTAGAATAAACAAACCTGTTATGATAATATTTTGCTAACTTCTGATCGTGTGTAGTTGGGACAATATTTACCCTATCACATTAACTGATTGAACAAATTTTATCTCTTGTAGCTGAATTTCGAGGACAACGTGGAGGCAGCCAGGAGAATAAACAGTTGGGTGAACACGGAAACAAAAGGACTTATTCCACAATTATTCCAAAATCCGGCGGAAATACCACGTGATACTCGCGTAGCACTTGTTAACGTGTTGACATTCAAAGGTAGTAACGACGTTGAGGAATGAAAAATCAAATTGTTTGTAATGTAGCCAGAATATCGGGATCTTTTTAAAGAAGAACGAGTGCTGCCTGAATTCACTTGCATTTCCTGAAGGGACAATAAACCATTGGTTGCGCCGCTAGAGTCCAGCTATCCCTTTGGGTTCGGTCACACAGATCACCTGTTAAGTTGACGTACTGGTTCCGCGTATCGGAAAGCAAACTAGTTGCCCTAGTGTGCTAGCAACATATCCTTAAGATATCCACTCGTATCCTACTCATAAAAGCTTTTGATAGTTATTTGTGAGAACGCGGACCCTGAGCGCGAAATATTTTGAGCATAACAGTTTCAAAAATGTAAACATCGCATAGCTGCATGAAATTGGTGTTGACTGGAAGTCACGGTTAAGGTGCTAGTGGCAGAGATGAATCCTGTCACGGAGTTCTAATGTGATCTACCAACAATTATTTCACTACTTTTACTGGCAATGTCACATTTATCACAATAACTTCTTGAGATCTTTCTGAATAGTTAGTCGATATCCAAGGTTCACTTGTTCAATAAAAGAGTAAGCAAAATTTTGGCGTGCACCACCAGCATTGTTACAATAAGGGCGTCAGTGCTTGATTGGAGGTCAAAATCTGAGTGGTTTTGTTCGTTTTTCTGAGAAGAACCAGATCACGCACTTTAGGACAGATTCTGGTGGAAGATATCCTGGACAGACTGAGTGTCCTCGTAATGGCAGAATGATTTTTCTTTGCATGGGAGGTACGGGCTTTTATAAGTTTAATTTATGTCCCTTCAGAGGCAGCCATCCGTTGTTTGATAATAACTGGTTAGACAAAATGGAGCCGCCACTCCAACTATGATAAATAAGTATGTTTTGTCTTCACCAAGACACCTCATTTGTTTCCCCTCCCTAAGCTCTGCTGTAACTAGCTATAGCTGACACCTGTTAATCCTTTCTAGTAGCATTATTCACACCGGATGCTTCACACGATTTTATCGATCAGTATGGTGAAGTTTCTTATCCCGCAAATTATTCTTTCCACTCAGACATGCCTATTATTTAGCCATATAAAGCGAGAGACTTGGGGAAAGTTTTCTTTCTAAAGTTAGGTTAGTGCAGTCATGAGCCATATTAGGAGGGCATCATTGTTGCCCATCTCTATCTTCTATCGTCACCCCCACTGCACGCATTTCAGATTCTTTAGTAATTTGCCTCCATCAGAACGTTTCATCCTCCAGGATTAAGGAATTAGGTGTTTTACCAAATCGGAAGTCTAGTAAGGCACATTCTTCTAGCTGGATCATTCTGGGGTCCTCTTTTTTTCAGAATGAAGCGTTCTCGTCAACCATGCTTGGAAGTGTTGTGGAGAGCTTCTACAGTAATTGTCACATTGTCCCCGTATTTCGGCCAACTGAAATGTGATGTTACCTATCAGAAGATAGATAGAAATAATAGAAACTGGGAGTGCGATGGAAGGGACAACACTGCTTGGTGCAAGACCAACAGGCAGTTGTACATCATCAGTTGGACCGTTAGCCATAGACTCAGTCATAAATTCTCTAGTTTATTGTAACCAAACTTTATCAGCAAAGCTCTCCTGATCTTAATTCGCACCAAAAAATCTGAATAACCACCGCAGTGATTGTTCCGTTATCCAGATATGTGGCAACGAATGTTTTTGCCTGTTCAAACCACCGTTGAAGGATTTACAATGGTTAATGGAAGGCGAATCGATGTTCCTATGATGAGCATAACCGAAGAGTTGCCCTATCTCTATGATGCTTCTTTGGGAATTGCAATGGTACGCAAATTTTTCAAGGTAAGTATAGTTAATCGGTTGCTTGATTCCTGCTTCACATCTTCTCACAACCTGTATGACGTGTCTTCGTATTTCGAAGGATGCTTATTATTAGAAATAAACACAAAGTTTTAGTTGAATTAGCTTTGTTCCTTTGTTGTTGGCAGTGAAGCTTTAGTTAGATATAGCTAGACTAATCAACAAAACTGGTTTTTGTTTGATGTGGTCCCGCTTTCAAACCGGAATACCGGGCTGCTTCGTGAGCAGAAGTACACAGCTGACCCTTGTCAGGGAACCGTTGAATACCCCTGAGTCAAGGTCGACATTTTAACTGCTGTTGTCACGGCGAGACACCGTACTATTAGTTGACTTAAATAGGCTTTGAAAGCCCCAGATTTCATCCAGAGATTTCCAATTCGAAAACGATGTTGCGGGGCGCTATTACAACTAGGAGAATAGGCCGAACGTATGGAATGAGCAGTTAGTAGACGTCAGATCCTGCTCGAACCCATTAAGTTTGTGCATCAGCCTTGCTCACGTAGTGACTGCGTTTAATACAGTATCAGTGATTAGTGTAGAAGGAACAAGTTACCAGATTAGTTTGGTATAGCACTTCACAGATTTACGGAGTCGTTCTGTTTTAGCCGTGTGTAAAGTTCTGTAGTGATTCTTCAGCCCCGTTCCCTGGATGTAAGGAAGCATGCAAATAAAAGGAAATGGTCGTTCGGAACATGCAATTGAAAGTAATCATTTACCATTTGTGGACCTCATTCAGCTTGAGAGATATATATGAAAGTCGCTACAAGTGTGTGTCTTATTGCATTCGTTGTTATAGTACCAACTAGTTCAAGATCAGGGTCTTAGGCTTATCTGATGCCCATAAAAAGTTTTGGACTAACCGTGAGACTGAATTCAAATCCAGTCAGACGCCTAATCAAGGAAACAGGAGTTCCCATTTTCGTTCTGAGTAAAAATGTCCGAAAGCCAACTTTCCTGCCATAAGCAAAGGATGTGATGCACTTTGTTAAGGAGGTGCGTAATATCTGTTTGCTCGATTTTTTCCGACAGAATGGGCGATACTCTTTCGTCGTGGTCATGCCTACAGATAAGACAGACATGACCGGCATGGAAAGTGTGTTGAGTGGATCTTATCGACTGGGTGTTTTGGTTGAGAAGCAAGAAGACCGCTTGGTTTCCTTCAAATTACCAAAGTTCAAACTGGAGTCAACCTTCAGTTTGATCGGTAGTTTGGAATCGATGGGTATCAGAAGGCTGTTTCAAAAAGGCATGGCTGATATGACTGGTAAGTGAGGAGATGAGTAGTCAGGAAGATTATTTATTAGAAAAACGAACCCTTGTTTGTAAAACTTGCACTCATCACAAAATTGTCACTTAGGCCTACCCTTAGATTGAACATTTATGGTAGTTTATGATGGATTTAAAGAAATGCGGCTTGACGCCTTGATTATGCCACCAATATCAATATTCAAGTTAGTTTTATCTTAAATTCTCTGAGAACCCATTATCCAGCGCCACGTCCGGGGTTGCATTAAAGGCTGTTTATCATAGCAAGATATTTACCCCTTGTCGTAGATCAGGTGGTCCGTAAAACAGAACAATTACTGGAAAAGTAGGTGTGCTATTTTATGTTCTGTTTGCCATTGAGTTAGTAAAGCAAACGTTAGACGAATGCTTTTACCAGCTCATCATTTCTATGGTTAACATAACGCAGTTAGTCTCGACTTAAGGTAATGAGTATTAGGATGTTCCTGAGGCTTGATGTTTGTGGTGTTTGGAATAACCACATCAATCGCGGTTCTGGGAATGTGCTCACAGGCGCACGTTGTTTTGAAATGAACAAACTAGACGAATTTGTTTGTGACAGAGCAGTTACTTACTGTTGACTTGGAAGAATAACCACAAGCTAAGTTATACCTTAGTCTGGAGTCATCGGGTAATTGATGAATTTAGTGTTTGGAAATTCAAGGATTATTTTCTGTTACATCTACTTTAAAAATGCCTAGATGAAAGACTGATGCACTCAAGCCATGCACCGATGATTCACAGCGGATTCAGTTTCGTCAGACTTGCCTTGATCTTGCCTGAATCACACAAACTGTCACCAAACAATTAGAACAGAAGCGTTATCTAATGTGTGTATAAGTGCCCAAGGCGATAACTCCTCCCTTTGGGTTAAAGAACCACTCCATTGGAGAACAGACCGCAGGTTATCTTAGTAACCGTTCTTATGGGAGACAGCATCTCGAAATTTTTGTGCTGCATGAGAGAGTATGAATGCATATGCTGGGCAAACTAACTTTCAGAAAAAATATTTCTATGCCCCGACCACTACGCAAAGTTTGAAGAAAACACATTTTTGTCCGTCATTTAAATGATATTTTTGGCGAAGCTAATAAAAACCTCAAGAGCGCTATTTTTGAAAATGTCTGTGAGTTTGGAACGTTAGACTGTTGAGCTTGAGGAAGCAAGATCCTTAGAAATTCACACTGGATCCACACACTGTTCATCTCTTAATGAAGATGTACCGAAAAGCCTGTTTGATTTGAGGATATGTGAAGGCATCCTCAACTGTAGAATAGGTCAAGCTTTCTAAAAAATCAAATACAAGAGAAATTGCTTTTAGTTTAGTATTCGCCTCCTAGGCGCACAATGATGAGACGGAGACGCGTTGATAAACTGATGGGAATGATGGTCTCAAATTTTGAGAGCTTTTGCTATAAATGGGTATATGGTTATGCAGTAACGCCCTTCCGACGTTTTTGCGCACGAAACAAACGACCAGCAGGCAGACAATACGGCACTTTCTAGTGTGAATTTGCATGGGCCACATTTTACCCCTTGTCAGCCGTTTCACGCAAACGCTGTCTCGAGCAATGGAATGTCCACGATGTACACAAATTCAAAATAAAACCTCAAAAAATGTTAACCCCCAGCTGCGCAGTAGTATCTGCATTTTTAGAAGATACTTCAATCTATTCTAGGCGATAAATCAACAAATGGTTTACAGCGTCATCTATCCAAATACCAGTTATGCCTTGGCAGTAAAGTGAGGAGCTGCAAGCAAAGGTCGCTTGTGGACAATATCCTGCAGGTGAGGAAACAAGCCTTTGAAGGGTTTATGTGATCCAAGCCAAAATTTGAAAGGAAGTTGAACCACGGGATGTCGTCGGTTAATCTGGCCTTCACCGAAATTGCCGG